CATTTCGACTTATGCTTTACTTTGACAAAAAAAATTCGTGAAAACTTTTGCGAAAATGAGAAAACCTTGAATTATATTTTTTTGCGAAATTAAATTATATTTTAAGAAAACAAGAAATATATTAATTAATAATATTTTGAAAAGTGAAAATCACAACATGTTGTTGGTTGCAAATCTTGAGAGATTTTTAATTAAATTCAATCGCTTTAATATATTAGTGAATACAAAATATTTTCTTTTAATACAAAAATAACGATATAGTTCATCCAACCAAAAGACTCCTCCACGTGATCACAAAATTTTTATCTAAAAATAAATTGAAAATAAATTCCGAGAAAAGCGAAACTTGAATGGAAGAAATGTTTCTTTTATCTCGTAAGATGATATCGTGAAAGACTAATAATACAGAACAAGAAAGAAGATTTTGTTCAACGTCACTTATTTATTAAAGAAGCAAAGTTTCTGGTTTATGAAATGTTTAAGAGTCAAACAAACTTGTATTAAGGTGAAAAATGTTTATTTCGGGGAAAAAAACAAATTGTTATGAAAACTACTGAATTGGCTTCTAGAGGCTCAAAACATTTCATTGCCAGTGGCGTGAAGAAAAAGAAACAAACAAAAACAAAGCGTTTGAAGCTACAACACCACTGACATCAGTGTATGAATATTTTCAAGGAAATTTATGCTTCAGCTTTCCGACAACAAAAAAAAGACAGAATGAAAACAACAGAGAACCGACTCAAGAAATGAACATAAATAAAACTTTGAAAAAATTTACCGTTGAACGTACGAACGAAGAATGAACGAACTTAGTCTTGGTAACAATAAATTTTGAAATATTATGTTGAAAAAATGTAAAACATAGTAAACAACAGAGAGCCATATTATCTGCTTTTTGCCTTTTTCTCCTTGTGCTATCAAAGAAAATTTAAATGGAACATTTCAAAGGGCGAACTAAAAAGTCCGAAATGAAGTTCTTGTTTATGTTCTTCGGTAACTTTTAAGATAACAACAAAGTAATTAATGCAGAAGCCAAGCAATTTGAATCTGTTAGCAATTGATTCAGTTTATTTCACGCACCGAAAGTTGTATACTTTTGTTATGAGAAAACATTATCCTCTCACTTGCTACAATTATAAATTTTATAATTTAATTGAATTTTCACTTTTTACTTTTCATGATTTACAGTAAAATACTACGCTGCCGAAAAGTTTAATTTAATTAAGTGACGAGGTAGCGAACGAGTGTTAGACGAAGAATTGAGAGTAAACAAAATGAAACAATTTCTTCGCTATTGAGTGAAATATTTGATTCGTTGTTTTCTGACCTTTCTCAAATTAACCAGAGAACAAAATAAGACGAAAAACCTTGATCGTAAAACGGGAACACAAAAAAATATCAAAAATTTTTGCTTAACAAGAAAGAGGCGAGAAAACATAATGAGCTAAAAGAAAATAAATATCAAATGATTTTTGACATTCGCTGGCTTTCATCGAATACAGAAATTTAATTAAATGTTAATTTTGCAATGTGCAGATCCCATAAAGTTCGTACAATAAATTAATGACTTTCTGGAAATATTTAAGAGAATCTTCGTTATGAGTTTTTCCTGTCATCTCTTTAAGAAGGAAAAATGAAAACGATGTGTGTTAATTGAAAAGAAAGACACAAACATTCATTAAATACGACAAAAATGTGGTTTTGCCGTGTCATTAACGAATAATCGAAAACAGCATCATGTCGACAGAACGCATAATTGAATTAAAAGATTAAAGTGAGACCTTTCATTCACAATACAACCTGACGGTAAATGGGAAAATGGGAAGCAATTTCACTCCATGAATATATCCGTAAAAGCCCCGAGTGTTAGTTCTACGTTCTAGATTCTGCATGGCACGTCACTAGATAAAATAATCTATTTCGGTTATTCATTTCTATCCCCTTTCATTTTCTTCTTATTCACTTTATTACATTAGCTGCAAATGAAAATTTTCCATCTTATTTCTTGTCATGCAATGAACAACCGGAGAAGGTTAATAAAAATGTCTGTGAAGTTGAAAGATAATATCTCTATCCACTTACTTACTTACTGAAAATCTATCGTTTGCAGAAGCTTTTCCCATTGAAATTAAAACCAAGACACTTTTTTACACTTTCCAGATCAATTTTCTCGATGAAACATGAAAAAAAGTAAGTTTTTCTTTCTGCTTCAAATGTTTCACTATCCATCAGATATTTAGAAATGTTTCAATCATCAATCATCATCATAAGAAATCGAGAGAATATTAAAGAAAACTAGCGACTTTATCTTAGATGGCTGACCACAAACACTACATTGATAAGGTGTAAACATGACCTTGGTATAACTTGGACATATGTACATATGATCGAAGGCACCGTTATGTTACACTCATCCACATGGCTCTTCAAGACAATTTTATTGCCTTTAAATTACCCATCATCTCGCTCACACACAAGAAATTCTTTTCCAATATTGTATGTGTTGTAAAAAAAAAACCGCCATCATCAGTCTACCATTCCAAACGATGAACAGACAGAAGAATCAGCGTCTGTGAAAAGTCGAGAATGAAGCGCGTCTGAGAATTTTTTTATCATTTTATTGGGATATAAAAGTGAATTGATGAATAGGATAATAAAAATGAAAATGACGATTAAATCACAGTGTAAAAGGAGAAGCCAAATAAAAATTACACAACAAATTTGATTGTTCACATGTAACAAAACAACATTCCACTTATTCTCATACACACACATTATAGACAGCACGCACTTTGTAGGTCACCAAGGGAAAAGTTTTCATGGAGAATCTGTTTAGCTGCTTTTATCACCAATCCATTCCATCACATGTGCTGTTTATTGCCTTTTTCGCTAAATATATTTTATAGATTTATGTGCAAATTTTGAGGGAAGATTTTCCACATCTTAATATTCTTTCTGATGTAAAATAGAATTGCATCGTATATACTTAAGTGTAGTAAGTACACATCATAAGGTGTTTTCTAAAACAGCAGAGAAAGAGGTAATAAAATTAGGTAATGGGTCTAGTCTTTAGACATTAATAATATTTACTACAAAGCAATAAAATTTATATGGCTCTGAAATTAAAATGATGACATTTTAAGTGGCATTGGTGGTGCTTCTTTTTTATATCACAACAAGAAATGTATTTTTATTGTATGCTTTTACTGTTTATGAACTCTCTTGCACATTTTTTTTCCTGTATCAATAAAAGCAAGTCAAAGCAACAATTTCCGGACATAAACAGGTGTATGATCGACAATAAAAAGATTTACAGCTCTCGTGGTCGTGAATTGTTTTCGTTGAAGCAATCGATAATGATTTTAAGGTCAGTAATTAGGTGACTTGATGTTTACGAGGGAGAAGTTATGACTTTGTCATGTAGAAATCAGTTTACTGTTAAGCTGTTGATGGTTGTGAGTGGAGAAAATAAAACCGACGGGAAAATTGTTTTCGTTCAAAGAAAAATATAATTCCAAGCTGATTGGTGCTCAATACTGTGAAAGCTGTTTCTTCGACTTAATCAGACTTTAGATAAGAGTATTTCTTAATGAAAAAAGTGCATTTGGGGGAATGTTACGATATTTCATTATTGAGGTCAAGAATAAATTTTTCTTTTTGATTCTTCTTTGTTCCATACAAGGTTTCAACCAGTTTCATCAACATATTTAAAGGGATTAATGTTTTATGTTGAGTGAGTTGATATTACTTTATATTTGACAGTCATGGAATCAAATAATTTCACTCGAATATACAAATTTGTATGCGAACTCAATCAAAATACGATAGCAAAGAAGATCCATATTTGAACATATAAAATAGGATGACATTTTCATCGTTTTACAAAATTCTTTCAAGTTTTAAGAAAGCAAAAAAGAAGTCAGAAGTAAACTTTATAAAAATTTCTAAAGATTCTTTCTTTTTTTAATATTGGTGGCGTCAGAGTTTCTTTCATTCTTGATTTAAATTCCCATTACTCTTGCTATTATCATCGTCATTTTATTTCTGTTCGACGTTTGTTGGTAATAAGCAAGAAAAAAATCTTTTGATTCTCAAAGTTTTTGTCATGCAAAACGAAGAAAAAAAGTTTTTGCACACTTTTTGATACTTGAAACCGTTTTAAGATACTCACGTTCATCTTGAATTGTGCAAAATTTATATTAACCATTACTTTTTTCTGCCTTTTCTGACTTACATGACAGGATGGAAAACGAGATATGTTTGAAAATATGGAATGAATATTAGAGCATTTCTATTCAAGTTGCGTTGTGAATATGCCATTTTGCCTACAACAAGAAAAAAAAACTTTTTTTGGGTTCTTTACTATTGAAATTGTGAAAAAATCGGAGCATACAAGGAATTGATACAATAATCATGATGTTTATTTCACATATCACGTAGGCTTTTTATTCGCTTTTGTTTTTTTCCCTTTAGTCTTCTAAGCGAAATATTCGTTAATATTTTGTTTTCTCTTTGCATTTATTTTTATGAAACGTTATGATATTTCTTTCCATTTGCTAGTCTCAGGAGAAGGCGCATTTATGATTATTAGGAATTACTTCCAAAAATACATTAATAAAGTTACATCAACATTTCTTATCAATTTATATTTTTTTATTTCGTCACTCAGCACTACAGGAAACGAATTCGAATGTCGGTATTATACAAGTATGGAAGATAATCATAAAGCGATGGCCAAAATGGTCACCTGCATGTGTGCAAATATTTTCTTTATTATACTATCTACTTTCCCACAATATGAACGAAGTAAAAAAGATATTTCATCAAAAAAGTTCAAGTCAAGTGGAAAAATATTTTCTTTTTGATTAAATTTCAAGCGTAAAGAAGTTTTTCATGCTCACCATGCATATACATAACCGAATAAATATCAAAAGAAGCAAAAAAAAATTATGTTCACTATCTCTAGCAGCCATTCGTATATAAAGAACAAAATAAACAAAATGAAAAGAAAGACGGACGGATGGGTGACATGTGAATGTGTTAGTGGCTTTTTGATTGTGTTACCTTCACGTAGCACACTAACGCAAAAACATCAAATATTGAAATTAGCTTATCAAAATATGTTTTCCTTCACGTTTTAGCAGTGAAGGGCATTGCAATAATGAAAGCAAATAGAATGAAAACCTTGAGTTAGATGTAGAATAGCAAATATTTTTTTTTTCTCCCTGTTTTACTCTATAGCACCTAAATTTCAATCCTCTACACATCCATTATGCATAAGATATATCATATATGTGTAGCATGCATGTTTTACTATCGTTTCGGTGTCATATTTCTCAAATGTTTTTGTTTTTGATGTTGTTGTTTCTTACTTTCATGTCGCTTCTTTTTTTTGGCTTTTGCTTTTGCCATAGCATAAATTATTTATCATATATTCATTTAGTTGCAAAAAATGTTGGTTATTCGTTCTTCTTTGGTTATTTTTTTCGGAAAAAAAGGGTAAACTGAGGCAGATAGTAGGGAATAGATGTTCAGCATACGTGCTTGCTTCTCGGTAGCATCACCAAAATTACATTCATATTGAATTTACTTTCCTCCCTCAGTATTCACGTTTTTTCTATGACTTTCATCTGACACGGATGTTGAATTACATTGAATGCAACGTCTGCTCATATGATGCGTAGTATCTTTGAATCATGGATGTACTTTATTAAAAAATTAAATTACGATGAAAAAAAAAGAGTTAATGGAGAAATGGTGTCGTTGGAATAAACTCAATTAAATCCTATAAGCCTTTAAAACCACCGCGGCATATTTGATACTCGACAGTTTTTCTGGTTTTTAATTTGTAAAGAATTGCTCCCTAGCGAGTATTCGCTTGCGTTTTAATTTCGAAAGCCTCTAGCCGGTAATTCCCTCACTCTTATTTATGTGTCATGAATAATTTTACAAATGGAATTTTCAATTACTTTATCTGCTTTTCTGCCTGACATAAAATGCCAATAAATATGTAATTTTATTGATTCAACACCCAAAGTATTGGTTTGTCGCGTATGTTCATTATTTTATTTTTTATCCAAACGAAGGCGAAAAGTCTGAGTCGTATGATATGATATTTAATTGACAATTAAAATAAACTTACCAATTTAGACATCTTCTAAATTGAACTTGATTGTTCAAGGTGGTTGCCACATGAAATGCATCCTGCAGATGAGAAAAATAAAGAAAAAATTATTATCATTTAATTTTAATCGTGTTCAATTTAGAAAATAAAGAACATTGGATAATTAAGATCAAATTCATCCAAAAACAATAATCTTTTTATTATATTACATATTTAATTAATATTCGATGATTTTATGAGTTTTTATTCGATATTTATTCGGTTGAGAAATTCAATTGATATGGTGGATGCTTTAGTTACCTAATGCTACACAACACGATGCGATGCTAGATTGGTTATGAATTTTTCAGATTCATCTTTGAATGTTTTGTTCCGATTATGTTGAGGTTAAGCTCAAACATAAATGCCACAAATTGCATCATTGAATTTAAGTGAGATGTCTGGCACATTATACTAAGAACATATCATTTATGATTTCTTTCGAATAGTTTTTAATTAGTTTAAATTTGTTTACACATTATCATGCTCGCGTTAGTTTTTTTAAAAAATGTCACTTAAATCGTCGAAAGGTCAAAAGGTCGAGAGGGGTATAAAGCTTATTAATGGATTAAGATCTACCAGCAAGACCTACTTGTAGACATTTAGTTTTCTTCAACCAATTCACCATCATCTGTGTCAAACTATTGTGGCAGAAACATCAAAATAATACAGAAATTTATGTCAAAACACTTCTTTCATTTTTTTCCCTGGTGACATGTTTCGAGAATAGCGAAATAAGAAAATATTATATCGTGGGATACGGTGAGTTGTTCAGCATTCGAAGGAGGCAAACGAAGCAGCTGTGTTGTATCATAAATTCTGATGTCATTTCGCTTGGATCTTCTGTTATAATGAGAACACATAGAAAAGATAAAAATCTTTTTACATAATAATTCCGACCGAATAAAGAAGCTGAGATGAATTCAAGAATAAGACGTGGTTGACATTTTTCGTCTCGTTTCTGTGGTTGATTTCGATTACGTTTTCTTATCTAAACTTTAACTTTTTTTTTCTCCATGCTTCTCTTGTTATTGCAAGCAAAATATGAACCTCTGAGAATTTATGATACGTAGAGGGATGTAAATTTTTTAGTTTACTGAAAAGAAACGAGGAAATCTTGAGATTGTGTTTAATGAACTACAGCACGACAACGTTCCATAACGTCTTCTTCGTCACAGCCGTTTGCTCTTTAACAGTTTCTTTGTTCATTCTTTCGCTTCTGAAATATTTGAATGAATAAAGAATTTTTTGCTTTATATATTTTTCACTATTTGATGAATGTGAAAAAAGGAAATCGTCATATTAAATTTTCAAAGAAGAAAACAAATTCCACACAGAACTGAGCTTAGTTTTGTACAGATGATAATGGTAATTGAAACAGATAACGAAAGTCACTCGGGGCGAGGAATATAGTCAGAAATAACGCTCGGTGTTAATGTTTTTCTCGCCTTTTTATGTAGTCTTGACTAACAAAACAACAAAGCGTTAGTTTAATGTCCGAGAGGGCAAAGAGCAGATTCAAATTATTTTGTTGATTTTATCAGTTCGCGAAAGGGGATTTATTTCGTCTGCATTCTTGTGCATGTTGTTTTACAGAAAATAAAGATTTCTGATAAGAAAGAAGAGTATCAGTTACATTATGTCTGCAGATATCACAACAAATTTCCCACAAGACATTGAAAATGTCAGCTATTAACAATTCCATAAACAAACAAAATGAACGATGCGTTGATGTTTATTATCATCATTGATAATGAGCTGCTGTTAGAAGTTTAGACATATTTTAAATATTTGTAAACATTCCAAGAAGATTATTTAAATATTGTTTTTTAAATAGTAAATAATTAGATTAGAATTGAAAACATACAACGATGGAGAATTATTTTCTAAACCACAAAATGTTTGTCGGTCTCAAGTACTTAAGACTTGGGATTTAACAAAACACAAATATGCTGAAGAATATAAACATTAACCACTCTCTATGGATTCCTTAAGCACAACAAGAACAATTTTCTTCCTCTCCACAATATCCACGTAGAGCGCATTACTTCTCTTATCAAATTGAATGAACAACAAAAGAGAAAAAAACTGTTTTGATTTGATTAAATACAATATTTCCTTTCTATCTTTGCCCTTTTCTGCAGCAATGTAGCAAAAAAGTATGATGTGCATTGCTCTCATTCCACGTTCAGATCCATTGCTTTATGAAATATTTTTTCTTCATATTCTTCTTACTCCACATAATATATTTTTATGTTCAATAGTGAGTTTACAGTTTTCATTCAAGAATGACATGTTCAGCTTAAAACGAAAGGAAACTTTTCATAACTGAAGAAATGGAAAATTTATGGAGGTTTTTCTCTAGTTCGAGGATTCTTCTTATTAAATTAGATCAGATAAAAACTTATCTTTGATAATTCTCAATCAACGTGCACAGTTCGAAATTTGTTTTTGGGTCTTCTGGCTCATATCACCTTAGACACATCAGCATTGATCAAAAACATGTACGAGACGAATTGAAGCGTATATTTTTTCTCTTCTTTCATCACAAATGCTTCGTTTCATGCTTCACTATTCCATACATTGAATTCAAATTCCGATTGATTAAACTTCATGGAAAATATTCTTCGTGTTTGTTGTTCTTCGACATGACAACCAACTTCTTTCATTTTGCCACTATGAATCATTTTCCATTCTTAGATAAAATTGTATTTTATAAATAAATTGTTCCGTGAAAATTGCCTCACTTTGAACGCAATAAAGCATGTCTTCGCACTAAACAAACATTTCACGAGACTATTTTTTAAGTTAAACAGAAGCCTGAAAAATATTTTGACTGAGAGTAAAAAACAGAAAGACAGGAATCATAAAACCACACAAAAATATGTTTTTATTGTTGTTGAAATTGCAAGGCACCGAGAAAAAGGATTCAATACTCTCGAGAAAGGGTTAAAAGGAGATTTTCTGTTCGCCTTTAAAAAAAGGTTTTCGATGAAATTTCTTGTGCAATAAAATATTAAAAGAAAATACGACACAAAATATTTCTTTAAAAATTCTTTGTACTCATTATGTTGAATGTTTTGGGTTAAAAACTGAAACACTTCCTTATTATTATATGACTTCGAAAAAGCAGTCAAAGCTTAAACGTCCTCGAAAAGAATTTATCCACCAACAATTCTTCTTCATTCGCATTCATCACTTTATGGAATTTAATGCGATATAAAAATCTGTTTACTTTTACCATGACTTTTACGATGTGTTAAACGATTACGTTAGCAAGAAGAGAAATACGCCATTTAAGTATTATTCGCTTCTTGCCATTTTTATGGCTTTGTCTTGTAATGCTAACCTAGTTGAAAATTGTACAATGTACATTGCTGACCCTTAGACAATCATTGGCCATTAGAGATAATTTTGTATTTCTTCACATCCGCATATTTATGATGAAGATATTTTTATATTATAGAAATCTTAGCAATTTCTTTTAATTAAAATACTTGACTTCAAGATTAAATGACTGAAACTTTCCAAACAGACAAGCAAAGAAATCTTCATCGTAAGGAACGCAAAATATGTTACGCCATGAATGATTATAAAACTTTGTCGGATAAAGAAGCGCAAAATAACGCACAGTCAATGATCCTATTCAAGAAAAAAAAACATGCTTAATGAGATTATCCGTCAGGGAGCACAGATTTTTGAGATATTCTCTCGAGTCACTACGCTGAAAATATTTGAAAGAGTTTGGAACAAGAAGAATGTTTCAGATTTTTCCTTTTCTTTTAATAAAAATTGTGGGCAAAGACTAAGTATTGAAGATATTTTTTGCTTCAATTTACAAAAAATGTAATGAAATGATTTCTTTCTTCAATGATAGTTTCTTCGTTGGCATGATGAAGTTGAATTGAAATCCAAGTTATCGTCTGAATTTCCTATTTTACTATCGATTTCAATGTTCAATCCTCAATATTATGTGACTCATGGGAGTCTATCGTCATCCACAACAAAATGAGCCTAAGGGCAAAAGGATTTCCTCGCCTTTTTCTTTAATCTTCTATCCTACTATGTCATCATCTCATAGTGGGAGATAAATGGACGAGAACGCTTCATTTACATTATTTTCGTATCATTTCTTCGACAATTGCTACTCACAAAGCAGTCGGAACTCAAAATATGGTCGATTGAAAAGGGTGAGTTAACTTCTTATTAAATTCTTTTCCAACCATCATTCCAGCCCAATTTTCTTTCTTTTGCGGAAGAAAGCATCACACAATGCATAAAATTTAAATCAAGGTTTGAAAGGCTTTGCCATCTTTTCTTTTCGTTACAAGCTTGAAAAGATGTCTTCAATTCCATTGTAAATATGCTCCACTAAAGAATAGATAAATTACTTCTATACATTTTGGAGCAACAAGATGAAAGCGGGACAAATTTTTCGTCAAAAAATTCTTCAATTTGCATACAAATGAAAATTGGTGTAGATAAACAGTTTCATGTCTTCAACCCCACCATCGACATGAACAGCAAGGAAACTGTCATTGGAAAAGAATTTGAAGTTTCTTCGTTTCGCCGGTTTTACATTCTTTCTTGTTGTGATGAGTTTGCCGTTAATACGAGAAAGAACGACTAAGAAAAATTGTTCAAGTACTTACTTTTAATGAATACTTTGAGTCTGTAGTCAGTCACTTGAACACTTCAAACATTATTCTCATTGAATGACTTTATCACCTTGTACATTAATCGCAAGTTCAAAACTCACAAATCACGCAGAACACCACAATATTCGAAGATTAAAATGCAAATAAACCAATTGAGGCATATGAGATTACCTTAAATACCAACAATGTTTAGCTACGCTGATAACTACAAAAAAACTAAAATCAAGTGCAAAAAAATATTGAAGAAGAAACCAACGAGTTGGATTGTTTTGCTGGCATGCGATAAGTTCCATGCTTATCTAAAACTAAAATTTTATGGAGTAAAAAACCGACTTGACTGATTTGGTTGAGAACTTCGACACGTTAAAAAGTTCACTTTAAATTTGAGTGAATTTTTGAGTAGAAAATAGATCCACGAACTAACGGCAGCTAATGAAACTCGTTTGATGATTTCATTAGACTTAAATCGACCATCAAATCAATGACTTCATCTTTAATATTCAAATCGTCATTTAAGTCCATTGACATACCGAAGATCGTCGTTAGTACTACGGAAACTTTTAAACGTTATTGTAATTCTTATTTTTTGCATTGAAAATGGAAAATCAATTTATTCATAACATGTGTGACAGCTCCATTAGCGTCGTTTAAGGTAAAGCTAATATAAGGTATGATAAATGCGGGACTGCTTATGATTATTCAAGCTTTTAAAAGATTCCTATAATCGAGTTAATTTAAATGTTTCTTTTCTTGTTTTGGTCGCATTTTGAATGAGTTAGATTTGATTTGGTTTTAAGTTCTTTATAGGAAACATGACGATTTTTGATTCAGATACAGGAAACTCAAGGTCATATGGGTTTCAACAAGGTTTTCAATTTAGAATGGTGTCGTTTTTGTTTCTTATCTCTTAACATATTAGAAATAACGACTCGGCGCGACTTCATAACATTTTTTTATATTTTTCATCGATTTTCGATTGTACAAAGTGAGAATCCAATTAGAATGAATATCGATCGAAGTAAATAATAGATTTTGCTTCCATGATGTTTAACACCATTATAGATTCATACACACACAGAAAACATGTCGATGGAGATATGACGGGAGAGAAAACAAGCATGGAAAAAGTTTCGGTTCTTCTTGTTCGGGGAAGTTAGTGAAGAATTACGAAAATATGATGAGAAGAAACGTTCGATAGTGTTGCCAACATTAAATTTTGTAGGTTTTACGTTTACCGGCAATTTCAGATAGAATGATAGAAAAATTTATGTTGATTGACATAATTTAAAACTACAATATTTTTTCTATGTTTTTTATTAGGAAATTGAATAATACCAGAAGAGTTCTTCATTTCAAAACTGTTTTTTTAAATTATCTTATGCTGAAGGCTTCAAATCTAGAGCTGCCATCTATTGGCCTCGATAGAAATTAAAATATTCTTATGCTGATGAAGAACATTCTTCAAATTTATGTAAAATTAAAACATGTAACAAATTAATTGAAGGTTTGTCAGTTGTATTTTCAAAGGTTAAAAGTTCGAACAAAAAAAATTGTTTCTCAAAAATAATGAAATAAATTAATTAATTATTTCTTAATTCTCTGCAATCTAATAATAAAAACTTTTTCAAAATCAATTGATATAAAAAAATGAAATGATAAAATGTTCTTCGATCTCTGTCAGTTGGAAAATAAAATTGTAATGACAGATGAATACCGCTCTCGATACCTTCCATGACGAAAAATCTTTTCTTCTAACACAAACCGTAGAGGGGAGAAAATGAAAAATGGAAAAGCATGAATGATGGTTGCTGCTGAATTTTATCATCCATGCTGATGCGTCGAATAGGTCGAATTTACTATGGAAACTTTATCGCCAATGCGCAGTAGTTCCGGGGAAATAATCGTGCTCTGGTATTTACCTATCGAGACCTTTTCAGACAGTCGTTAACTTTTGCTATCGCTTCTCTTCCAAAATAATGGTTTTTAAACAAGATTGTGTAAGAGAAACTAATAAGTTCAAGTCTTCCTGCCTTTTTCCCTCCCAAACATGTTCATTATTATCAATTAAGTTCTCTCAATGATTCAATTACTATCTACATGAAGAAGCGCTATCAAGAAATGTTCCATCATAAATTGAATGAAACTTTAATATTCAACAGAATGTTTACGAGCAAATGAATGATTCTTCATCGGCATCTGGAATTCATGAATTATTCTTTGAGCATGTCTCTTGAGTTGTAAGACCTCCAAGTCCGAAATTATGAATATTCTTAATGTTGTTCTTTTAAATACCATAAAAGCCAAGGATGGAGAGTTCTTTAAGTTGAAATAAGAAATAATCATAAAACTGTAAACGTCGAAGCAGTAAAGAACAAGAATAAAACATACAACCCGTTAGTTTACAACCCGTTTAAAGAAAAACTAGTTTAAATTACTTTATTAACAATTATACAACATTCTTCTATTTTCACACAAAATTATGCAACATAGTTAACAAAGAGGAAAGGCCTTAATTATTGCCACTTCAAGCAGTGAACTCTCAGGGGAGTCAACGTAAAAGAAAACCAAACATCAATTTTTATTGCTCTCGATTCTTCAAGGCATGTCCGTACAACTCTTTCGTTTTTTTTTTCATATTTTATATGACCTTGCTCTCGAAAAGTAATTCTTTATTTTTTCGAGTAGAAAGAATCGGTTTTTAGAGATTCTTTTCACATGAAGGACTTTTACAACCATTTCGTTCTTTTAGAGAGAAAAATGGGGGAAAAAGGATTTTTTTTTGCTTATCACTTGGAAACGAAACAACTTGGATATATAATTGAACATTTGTAACCTCTTGGGTCTAAACCATTCGCTACGACCGCTCATTCTTTTAAGGATACACGAACAAGCTGAAAGGATGCTTCAAACAATTTATTTTTATTTTCATTTTCCATGGGATCGACATGAAGAATATTTTCCACAAAAACTTTTCTTTTTTCGTCGTATAAACTTTATTCAAATTTTCAACCCTTTTTCATCTAAGTCATAGAATGATGGTTACAATATTTACACCAACATGAATAAACTCTCATTGTTGGCTTTTTTTACTTTATTTTTTTAGCAAGCAGATGAACTCTAGCTGATGCTTGATACTGTAACATCATTCATTCATAATATAAAACGTATCATGTCAACATCTATGTTTGCAGCTTTTTTTTGTGTTAAAAAGCTTATAGCGTAAGAGTGATATAAAAAAGTACACAACACGAGAAAAAAGCACTCTCTAGATGACATGTCTCTCATCTCATCACTCATTGATGGTGGTGGAATAATAAAAAAAGGAACAACAATTCTAATTCAACATCACTCTTCAGTTCCATCGTCGACAACGTCTCTGTTCAGCTTTTGAGGCGGATGAAGTTTTATGCGACAAGAGGAAAAAGAAAATATTTTTTTTATCATTCTAGTTTATATTTTATATTTTGGAGAAGGCAAAGATGAGCGACGAGGAAGAAAAAGTAAATCGAGGAAAAATGTATAAAAGAGAAAATTGTGAAAACATGTTTCGACGTTGTAATATAAAAAAAAAGAATCAACAAGGAAAGACAAGAAAAAAATATGAAAGCAGCCACGCATACATAGTTTATGTATGAAAGTAATATCTTTCAACTGTAACGTTTTGAATATTTTATCACGCTTTTATGTTTCTTTCGCATCTGAAGCACAGTCAAAAGTCGAGGCAAGTGCGGAACCCACCACCGCAAAAAAGCATTGAAGAAAATTAAATTTTCCTCTGTTCCATTCTTGATGAGCCCGGTTGCCTCCACCCACACCATCCAATCACTCGTTATCATACGTACCACAAAAGAAAAAAAATTAACCACATGAACGTGCGGCATTATTTGCTTTTTACGTCATATTGTTTAATCCTGGAGGATGGATCAAGCGGAGCGAAGAAAAATGAATGCATAAAGAAAATTAAGATCATAAAAAAAGATTCTTGTAAGTAATTTTTGCTGTTTTCTATTCAACTTCATTGTTAGCAACAATTCAAAGAAAAACTGTTTGTTTTATGATAAGAAAACTTTTCCTTCTTTCGTTATTTTCTTTCTCTTTACTAATATGAGTAGAAGTCACGCTTATGCGTTGAGAAAAACTATTTGGGAAAACACTTTAGTCGGAATAATCATAAATTTTACTCGAGACATATTTGCCTTCCTCCATTAATTAAATAACTTATTCGTGAAGAATTCTTGAAGAAAATACGACGAGAAATCGCTGAGGGAGAACTTGAAGCAGATCTCAAAGCAGTGTCATTAATTCGTTTAAAAAGTTATAAATTTAACTAATTAAAGACATCAAATTTACAATATTGTAAACATTCTTTCTGTTTCATGAATTTAAAATCACGAATTTCAAGTCTGTGTCGCTTTGCTGCAATCACCATTACGATTCAAATTTACAAAGCGATAATAATTACTTGACATTGTTTGCTCATTCTCCGTGTGATGATTTTAATGCAAATTAATTTCAACAAAGTATGCCTGAAATAAAGATTGATCAAGCAACCATGAAGCGTATTTTAAAAGCTAAATTTACATTTAACATGCTATCAGTGAATAGGCAAAGTGGATATTCATTTACTTAGTTACTTATTAAACTACTTAGGTAACTAGTTTTTAAATAGCAAATGACTTTATTCCACTCTCCAATGGACGATTTCTGCCATTTTGATAGAAGAGGTTTTCTCGCGTAAATATCGTTATTATTTGATGGGATCTAATTTATTTTTATCGCCACAGAGTCAACATATTTAATAAGCATCAATATTTACAAAAGTATCAAACAAATATTGATTCCAAGGGAGAGACGAGCAAAGGCGATCATCGCCTTAGCAAAGGAGAGAAATGTTTTCCAATAAATGGTATCAGCAGGTTACGTAAGAATTGTTCAGATCCGCCTAATCTACTAAAACAAGATAATAATCTGGAGTTGTACCAGTCATGTGAGTTCACCAACACTGCCTATTTTCTCGCAACAAAAAATAAATATAACGTAGAAGAATATTGCGATGTAAAAACGAAAAGCAATACCTGCCGTTTTCTTTTACTTGAACCCCATGTACTCGCATTCATTTCCAAGCAAGATTAGAGAAGGAGAAGAAAAAAAATTCATTTCATTTTATGAACACTTTATTATATAGTTACGAAGGAAGGAATTTTGTGTGTGTATAGTGAATGTTTCGAGCGTGGGTCTGAATTATAAATTTGACTCAATAAAGGTAAGAACGAGGCAATGCAAAAGCTTCAAACGGCAAAAGGAGAAACCTAATCTTCTTGTCTCCATAAAGTGTCCATATTGAATTTTCTAGATCTCTCATCTGAATCTTAATTCATTTCTTTTCATTTCGTCTTGCTCGTGTCATGAATGGGAAAAAAGGAATAAAGTATCTTTCTACAAGAAAAGAAATCATCATTAGTCGAATGGAACTTTCATTCTGATGAATAAATTTTCTTATCATGAAGTCATGGAAAAGAAGAAAAAAGTTTATTCATCTCAATAATTAGAGCAGCATAAGAAAAAGTGTGCGATGTGCTTTTACGATGTTCATGCATGAAATATTTTTCGTTATTATTATTTTTATTCTTTTGTTTTTCTTGCGCAATGAATTCATGCGAGAAGATTAGGAAGTCCTTCAACTGTTGCGTCACTGTTGCTTGCGAAGAAAGTTTGAAGAAGTCTTATAAAGTAAGACGTTACTTTGAAATATTTCAATAACATCGTTGACCTTCTTTCCTTCGTGTATTTTATCAAAATTTATGTTTGTGGTTTTGCATAATTTCAGAAATTCACTCAACAGTAATAAGAGATCATGTCAGCGAGTGAGTGTCTTAGCATGCATTTCATCTTCTCTTTTTTTGATTATAATCTCATATCTTTATTTATAAGATAACTTTATTATCATTTTAAAAAATAAATATAAATTCTTGAGCATAAGAAAGGAGATTGAAGCAGCGCTCAACGTCGAGTCTCATCTGGGGCTCGATTTGGAAATGTTGGTTTTATACGTTTCGACTTTGTGAATGATGACTGCCAGAAACCGATGTTATCTTTTAATTAAATCTGCTTCCTGAACTTTATGTTTGGAAATTTTTCTTATTCAAAATCTTATCCTATTTGACGAGAAGGAAAAGGTATTAAGTAATAAAACCTCACAGTAGGTTCATATGAATTTACTACATCAAAACCTTAAAAACAGAAACTTTGAATGAGTGGGTGGGGGAGGTGATGAGAATTCATAAAAGACTTAACTTAACCTGCTCACAAATTTTCTCTTTTTTTTACGTATTGGATGCTGATGGAAAAATAAAAAGCTCAGGTAAACATGAAGCCTTACAGTCGTTTATTAACGCATCATTACCAGCAGTAATTTAAATCAAACAATTCGCATTACAGTTCTATCCGTTAGCCATGCTTCATTCCATAATCTTTATGATTGTTCTTTTGTTGTAGTTATGCTAGGTAGTCAGCATAGTCCTTTTTCCTGCAAAAATGTTTTTTGTCGGTAAGTGTAATAAAAGCCAAGCATATTTAGCACATTTCACCTTTTTTTACGAAGCCAATAAACTTTATGTTAATTTTTCGTTTTCACAATTCTTTTTTAAACAAATCTCACCGGTTGAAATCTAAAGTGGAAGCGGAGAATATAAACAGGCCACTTACAACAAACGGGTTAATTGAGAGGAAGAAGATAAATTAAAACAAAAGGAAACTTTATTTCGTTTCATTTCTTCTTTTTTTGAATATTACGAACATTTTTAGGATTGCTTTTGCTATCGAAAGAGATTAGACATTCCACGACCGTACATGGTTTATGGTAAAGCGAGTGTGCATGTGTAGAATGCGCAAGAATAATAAATTTTGAGTGGGAAAGTTTCTTTCCTCTCCTTCCACTTAGTTGTTTCTTATTTTTTGGCTTTTGCGGATAAAGACATTTTACCTCTTATCCTTTCTAAGCTCGGAAACGAAGCAAAGAAGAAAGAGAAAAAACCTATATAAATGTTAACGTTTGCTGAATATAAATTCCCTGCTATTTCTTCCATTATATTAAAAAGAAAAGCTCAACCATTTTCTTTATTAGGCCACATTTTCATTTCAAGTAAAATAACCTGCTTTCGACGTCAGAATGAGCAATGAGCTTTGATGAAATTATCTAAGACATCATGTCAGAAGTTTTTCATCTTTTCGAATTTTCTTTTATTTATTTTTCTCTTCTTTAATTTAATTAAAAATGTTAAAACATTCCGAATTATTTCTTGTAGTAAAATTTTCTTTCTCGTTTCTCCCCATTTCAAATAGAAAAATGTAAAATGAAAAATGTTGAAAATGGAAAATTTAGTGTCGTGACGATGGAAAAATGTTCATCGATTAACATGAAAAAAATTTCATGGGATAGAAGAAATTTTCACTACATTGATTTTGCTTTCTATTTATCGAAAGCGTAATCGTCGATGAGGAAATGTAATTTAGGAAAAAGGATTTCTTTCCTAAAAAATCATCATTGCTTAAAAAAAAGGACGAGAAACGAATGAAAGGAAACTTAATTCAATTTATCTTTGACATGTATCAAGGGACAACTTCTTATCTTTTTCTCATTGTTTAATAAACAAAACATGACATTTTGTCATTGTAAAGTTTAACACAACAACCTACAGCACCATGGAGGATTCATGCAAAACCATTAAAAGCATGAAACACCATGACGCTGTTTTAATAAACAGCATAAAGTTCAATGCCTGCAGCTTATCATTTCTTTCGTCTTTCTCTCCGCTACTTTTGATGAATGGATTTTTTTTCTCGCTTCTGCTACTCAAGTTATATCATGAATTATGCAAGGAAAATATTGAGCATGAAAACTCTAGACATTTCAGAAACATAAAGTTGGCTTGTAATAAAAACGAATTTGTTTTTTTTCTCTTTTCTTTCTTTTCTCAGCGCTACTTCCATGAAAAAGGACCACTTTATGTGAAGCAATATAACTTCGAAAGCATACCTTCTGTATAAAATAATCAAATTTTCGTGCAAAAATAACTTCTTTACGAAAGAAAATCCTTTTTAGTGAAATATGCTTTCTCTTCTCCCGAGGAGATCTAGCTAAGCGTCGAGCGAAGAAAAATGAAATTTTACGAATGAATGAGAAAAAATTCAGATCATATCCTACGCTATTTCCGAAAGACATAAATCGTTTTATAGCTTAAGAAGAGAAGTTGAAAGGTTCAGGCGATGGTGCCTTTTAGGAGAAAGGCTTTACTGAGTGGGATTATGTAGTTGTAGGATGGGCAAGTATATATATAGCGACAGCTTTGAACGATAATAGGAAATGATTTAATGGAGCTAAGTATCGAAATCTTAGGGATTACTTAAACGAAAAATAAATACAAACTCACATTCGTTCATCTCACAAAAACACTTGAAGCAAAAATAATTTCTTCTTGGCAAACGACACAAGTTTCAAAACTCAAACTTTAAGCAAAAATGATATTTTTTAAGATTCGATTGAATGCTCAACCACACAACTTATGAAAATCGATAATGTCGACGACTGAAGCATTTCTCTGTTATTTTCTCTTCAAACCTAGGCCATCTAATTTGAATGAATTATTTATTCAAAACAGCAAAGCAGTGGAACAAAATACAAAAAAAAAGAGTAGCGGTAGACCGCCAACAAACGTGCACAGTTATTCCTTATCTCTCAGTATATTTTCTTTAATTAATTAATTAATCGGTCAAAATTTTTCAATGAAGAAAATCTCTTGAGATTAAAAACAATTAAGTCCGATGAGTTGAAAAAAAATCCGTATTGCTAGACGAAACACAAAATTTCTAATAATAAACTATTTATACGATGGCTTTTTCAGTCCGCTTCATGTATGTAGTTTAACTTTTTTTTTGAAAGGAAAAGAAGCCATGTTGGGCGTGGCGCTCGTGATGAAAAAAAAACTCTCGCTTTTCGTTCTTCTTTACTCCGCTTGCTTTTGCCTTTGCCATGATGTGTAGAGAAAATGTTTTCTGTAGAGAATATATTCAGATGTTGTTTCATTTCCCTCTGTGCCGTCATTTTGTGTAGTTGTGTAAGTATCAAGGGTTGGGAAAATATTTTATGGACGACATTTACAAGATGTAAGAACAGAAACATTTTTCATTTCCTGAATCCACAAAACGTTTAATTTATAAAGCGGTTTTGAAGCCCTGGTGAAAGAGAAAAATTAATGTGACTGAAGATGACTAGCGAAGAGTATTTTTGATGTTGGTATAACATTGTGCACGTCTCTGCTGAATAAAATATGACTGAAAATTCCCGAAGCATTGTTTTCGTTAGATATCATTTCAGCATTCATTAAGAGCACAAAACTTTTTAACAATTTCATGTTTTTTTTTTTGCGAAAACGGCAAAACAGAAAGCATCACAATCTCATTCCACTTCACTTCTCCCCGAAAACACTTCAAAACGGGAGAAAATATTTTATCTTAAAAGTCGTCCATTCATAGTAAGTATTCTGGAAATTTATGTTCAGGAATGCTTTTTTCATTTAATTGAATGCTTTCGGAATTTTTCTTTCTTCCCGTGATTTTGTTTTCATTTCAAAACTGAATTTGCTACGCATAGTAGTTTAAGAAAAAAAAAAAAGTTATTCATTTAAGTTTTCGTAGAACCGTCGGCTATGATTCTAAACAAAAATTCTTCGAAAATTCTTCGTCCCATGATCTTTGACAGTATGAGAACTTTTATAAAATGGAACTAATTTTCATTTCTTTAAGTAATGAATCTTGGATCCCGTGATAAATGATAATTTCAAACTATTGACTGCGTAATTAAACCCAGAAATCCCATGAAAGAAAGGCAAACATTTCCAATTTTCTGCTTCAAAAAACTTTTTCTGTCTCTCATGAAAATTAATCTTAAGGAATGATTTTCTTCATTTTATATTAGTTTCTCCTTTCGAGTCCCATGACTGAAAGAAGAGTGAAATTGACTTAATCAATTTTTATGTGGTAAACATGCTTGAGAAATTCAAAGAATTTTGCCGCAATCCCCCGGTTTTATTTCTTTCTCTTGTGCCAATGAAGCATAAAATGTTTGTGCTACAGAAGGAGCAACTTGCGGGAGTGCTTTTTGCATGCATAAAGTTCGGACGACTTAAGCTCGAAAGTAAATTAACTTAATAGATGAACCTTACGTTTAGGGATAAAATTCATTGTCGCCATAAGTTCTTAGAATAACTGGAACATGACAGAAGAATTATACATGGCTTGCGTCATCAGATATGTAGCTTAGCTTAGAGTTTTTTAATAAATTGAAATGAACATTAATAAGAAGAAGTTGGAACTAGAAAAACTCTTTCGCAATTTGTAATAAAAATTGATGGATCGTGTGTAAACTTTTTCTTCTCATCAAAATGAAAATGCGAGAGTTGGCAAAGTTTCAGAGTCGAAAAACTATCAAAATCCATTGCAATTATTATGTTTTTCAATCAACAAAGTGCATGATGGCGCCCAATTGTCTAAAGTTATCTCTGAAGTCAGTAACTTTGCTTTCTAACATGAATAAAATAAAATGAGTTCATTTTTAAATGAAGTCATTTATCTTGTATTCGTTTTAGAGCGTTGAATACGTTTTGAAATGAAATAAAATAAAATAAAAACGAAAGCAAAAACAAGCAATAACTTTACATATTTTCCTGATCATTAATTTGCACCCTCGTAAAAATTCATCATGCACTTCAGAATACAATTCCAGGAATATCTTGGGAGGAGTGAGTAAGATAAGTATAACAACACAATCCACGCACAATAATTTTGTAATAATTTCAATCATTTTACGGCTTGTATTTACATGGATAATAATTTATCATAATAGCTTTTTCGGATGTTTGATGTTTCTTTACTTATGCATATTGGTTACAGTCTTCTGGGAGTCAAGAAATGTGTTATCCAAATACCCAAAAGTGCATGGGATTGGCCTGCATTTATTGTTTTATATTTCTAGGGGATTATGACTTGGTTTTTATGACTGTGAATGAAAACCGTTACCGCATATCTCAAATAGAATTTATTGAATGTTTGTTGGCATTAAGATCTTACGAAATTATTCAATAACCCATTGCAAAGTTTTCTTTCAATAGTTTCTGTGAGATCAAACAACTGAATAAATAAGTACGAGGCGAGAAAATATTTACACAGCATTACAATATTTACAAAAAAGAAAATTCGGTCGTGTTTCTTGAATATTTTCTCTCTGGGGATAATTTATGATCCAATTAGAGTGTTCTGTCTGAAACTACAGTAAATAAAATACGTTTTAGTTTTGACATGTAGATAAAATATGTTAAGTCAATTGATTCATCTTCACTCTGATAAGAATTGCAGACAATCACGATTACCTAATATGTTATTCAATTTTCAGAGTCTTTCGTTTGGTAAACTCCAATGGCACATACAAAAAAGCAAAAGATAACCCGTGAGACATTTTTTTTTTCTTCTATTAATTTGTTGTGAAGCCTCGAAATCTCTAATTAAATAAAAAAGTTTTTTTGTAACGAAAGAAAAAGATAACGAGAGTAAATGTCAGAATAAGTCGCATAATATGTATGATCATTATTTTGAATTTATAATTAAGAGCCAAGTCGATTGAATAACTAAATACTTCTTAATAATATTAGTTATGAAAGCATTTTTTGCAGCTTACGTTTGTAATTTTGTATCAATAACAATCAAGAGAAACGCAAAAAAAAATTATTTAAAAATGTGCAGATGAGTAGCGAAAAAACGTCATTACGTTTTAATCAGACATAAATTTCCTGAATTGATGGTATGAAAAACGTATTAATATATCCGATTGCACATTTTTGAAGGCGATAATACAGCTTTTCGTTCAATTCAGTGAAATTTCCTTCAAAAGTTATTATAATTGACAAATAAAATATGCGGAACGGTTTACGTGTTATTTACATTAAGAAATAATTTCAGATAATCTCGAAATTTAAAATAGATGAAAGGAAAAACTAGTTTCCATAATTATTCATTGGTCCCAACACATGTTCACTAAGAAAGTATCTCCATTAAATTCCATAATTCACTTGTGCCATCCACCCATAAAATAGAAATAGTTGTAGTTCTTCTACTAGACCGGAACCATGTGAAGTAGACGTTCTTTTACGATCCATTGTTAATTTTATGTCATAATTGAAATGGAGGATCCAATTAAATGATAAGTTGCGTTAGTTCTGAACGTAGAAATAAATACATTCACAAATATGAAATAATCTTTTGCTATTTTCCGTATAAATATTATTATCATCGATAATAATGATCGATATCAGATTGGGGATTATTGCTGCATTTGTCAAAAGGGTATCACACACAAAGCGTCATATAAGCACACCAAATTATGTTGTGTAATAAAAATTACACATATATAAATTTTATGGATGTCATTGTTTTCTTTTTTTCTCTCTCTCTCCTTCCCACTCACTCTCTATCGAAATGGTTGAGGATTTTTAACGAATATATGAATGAAACAATGGTCATGTGTGAGATGAGTTGGGATAAATCAATGTTGAGCTTAACAAACAACAACTTATCACAAGTCAACCACTATCCGACCATTCTCAGCCATTCATTTTCCGCTTACTGAAATGCGAAACAATGGGAATTAAAATGTTTCGAATAAATAGCGTAACTAGTGTTGTTCACGATATATTTTTTACGATCATGTTTTATTCTTGATTGTTATTTCTTCACAAGTGATCCAATAGCGACGAATGTGGATTCTTATTACTATTTTTTTTTATTGGGTGTCAAAAGCATTGTAAAGAAGCTTCAATTAATTCAATACCTTTTTTGTATTTGTGTTGCTTGCTCGTATATTTAATAGAAATGGAAATTGATGAATGAAACTACGTGATTTATCACAATTGAATAATGTTTTCAACTCACTCATTTAAACAACTTGTGTCTGTAAGGTTTAAACTTTTTTTAAACTTCTTAAAATCAGAGCTTGTTTCTGTTTACTGTTATACTTATGTAACTGTTACCAATCTTTGTTTAGCTTACAAGGACGATCCTTAATAAAAATTAATGGCCTTTTAAAGGCAACCCTTTAAACCGATAAAAGACCGTTCATGATGAGCTGCTCAAAACGAAAACAGCAAAGAAAAAAAAGAAAAACATTCCCAGCGTTTTATTTATAATGATCAAGGTAAAATGAATTTACTTCAAATTGAATTTTTCCTTGCGATGAAATTAATACATTCGTTGTAAACTTAATCTCCGCGAGCTCAATTTTAAGTGATTTCAACTTGTTACAAAGTTTTGTGTCGAATTAAAATAATCTCAAGTTAATGTGAGGGGCAAAACATAAAATACTAAAAATATTGGACTCGATGACATACGAGAAGAATTTACATCAGATGTACGTGCTTAAGTAAGAAAGCAGACAACCAGAAATATTCCAATGAACACCAGAAAAAATACTCTCTAAACGAAAAAGAAGAAATAGAAATATTTCCTATTAGAAACCACTTAAAATTTTCATCTCTTCATTTTTCTCGAGACTTGGTAAATAATCTTATAAGTATAATGCTTTCTATTTGAATCAATAACAACTGATTGATATTTTTTTTCGCAAATGTCTATTTCGTCAGTATAAAATTTGAAAATTAAAATTATCATCTCAAAATAAGTACAATTTCATTCTAAAAGATATTTTCGGTTTTATAATTCTCGATACAAATGGATGAGCGAGTTTGAAAAGTTATGAGGAATTTGATGAAATTAAAAGAAAATTCCCTTAGCTATTTAGGGCTCTCTGTTCAATCAAATCAATTTGATCAGAAAGTTTTTTTCTTCTTGTGCATGATATGTTTGTTCATATATATGTTGATTAAAAAGTATCTCAAGAAGAATGAGAGAATCTAGTCTTTGTATGTGTTGAGCGAGCACACAGTAATGATTTTGAAATTGTGTTTGTTGATAGATATGATAGAAAATTTATCTTC